GAGTTTGCCCTATCGGATATGATTGTCAGATTGTTAATAGGACCTATGCAATCCCTAAGATGCCCCATAAACCATGTCCATGAATCAGAGGTTTCAGATTTGCCAACCCCGTAAGCTATTGGCAGTATCCCATTGTTAACATCCATGGCTACTGCTAATAAGTTTACTCCAAGGTATCGACCTTTCAAATGTGCTCCATCAACTATAATAACTGGACGCATGCAAGTAATAAACGAACGAATTTACAAATCATATACACAAGAATATAATCATTTAATGTGAAAAGCATGCAACTAACAAAATGAGTCAACAAAATTATAATTATTTACTAACCGCAGCACCAATGGCGATAAACAGCAACTCAAAGCGTCCATCTCTATCTGTTTTGATATGAGTTACCGACCTAGGATTTTTCAGTTTTAAATTGTGACAATAAGCCGGCAGTTGGGCAAACGATGCTTCTGGCGACCCCCTCAACAATTCCAAGGCATAACATTTGGCTCTCCAAGCTTGAGAATATGAGATACTAATCTTGAACCGAGCATTCATGCCAGTCATAATTTCATGTCTCCGATATACCCTTCCATTCAAAAACATTAACTTAGCCAGAAAACCACCAACACCTTTTTGTTTGCCTGTCTATGGTGAGGAAAAACTTGGGTTCTTGAACATGTATGTTTATCAATAAAAGTCCTAACTTGAAACATTTCGCAATCTTTTATCCTCTTAGCAATCATATGACACATACAGTTTTTGTCAATCATACACATTGTTTCGAAACGATCTTTGCTTGATTTGTTAACTCTTAGTTGATAGCCATCTTCCACATATTTCGTATACAAAGCTATCTTCAAGTCTTCCTTTGTATCAAAACAATCATCTTTCTTGATACGAATAACTTTGTAACAATCAACTGATATCTTTACCAACTCTCTTCCGGTATCTGAAGTAATTCTGGCATATTCCAGTTATACTCCCGTGGCATTTTCTTCTTTTTCCTTTCTTCGGGGACTTTTTCTTCTTCAGGGTTATATGAATTACAGAATGGATGTTCAACATGTTCATTCACAGTCGTAACTTCCTCCTCATTATCATCAACAACATCTTCCTCGGCAGCGGCTGTTTCATCATCAAATTCAGATTTGACCAATATCAAAATCATACATGCAGGGTCTGTTTCTTCTTCCATCACATCATTAAAATCCGAGTATTGACCAAGATCAAATTTTGAATACTGACTAGTACTCACAATTTTTTCTGTTGGCTCATAATCATCTAACTGGTCAATACGAAAACCGAAATTTGGTGCTGAAGTTGATTGGGATTTGGATTAGGAAAAGGTTGTGGGTTTTTGAGATTGTGTTTGATATTGTGTTTGGTATTGGAAATGTGGTGAATCAAATTGCTTGGTGATGAAATTGTAGTGGAACCATTAAATTTTGGGTTGAAAAACTTAGTTGATTACTACCCGTTACTGACCCAACTTCACTACTTCTAGGTTCAACAACATATAATGTAACATCATCTTCTTGCGAAACACTAATATAAACAATGAATCGTTCAACATCTTCATTGTCGGTTAACAAATAAACTTTACCTTTTCTCAGATAAGATAGCCTAAATCCACTTAGAGGCTCTAAATTCAATTTCTTTGCAACGTAACATAGAGTTCATAAGTTAACTTTTTTAATGATAGTTTTAGTTGAAGATTCATGGGTAAAGGCACATATTGTAAAACACCATGAACATTCTCCTATGACCCTCCAAAACACAAATCTATCCAAACATGATCATCATTAGATGATTTCATTCTAAAATTATAATTAATTTACTAAACAAACGCTATAACTAGATATCATCACTAACTTAGAGAAAACATACCTTTATTAAGTTGATAGTTGATAATTTGGGAGATATCATTGAAAATATATATCGAAATAATTATGTAAAAAAAATAGAGATGGGGAAGGATGTCGTTGGATATAGGAACGAATGTCGCCGGAGAGAGTGATAGATGGAGATGGAATGAGTTGTGATTTAGAGATTTAGGTTATGAGTTGTTGATGCTGCGTTGTTATATACCCAAAACATTTGTGTTGCGAAACTAAAACCTGTTGCGAAATTAAATTCGCGTTGCGAATTTGAAATTCAGTTGCGAATTTGACTTTCGCGTTGCGAATTTAGAATATCGCAACGCGAATTTGGAAAATCGCAATGCGATTTACATATTCGCGTTGCGAAGTTGGAAACTGTGTTGCGAAATTGGAATTCGCGTTGTGAATTTATTGGTCATTTTGGCAAATCCAAAAAACGTTGGTTAAATTCATATATTATAAGGCATTTTTTGTCACTGAAGTTATTTTCTCAAATAAATAAATCTCATAGTAAACAAATTAAGCGTAAAGTACAAAAATGGTCCCTCGACTATACAACATTATTTTGTTGAGTCTTATGACTATTAAAAATTACAAAATGGTGCTATGATTATAAGACATTATTTTATTGAGTCCCCTATTATTAGAAGTTATAAAATTCATGTTCCAAAATCGTTTTTTGGTTAAAAATTTGACTTCTGTTTGAGTTGAACGTTAACTTGTTGAGTGAAAGATAAAATTATATTTTAACGATGTATACTGCAATCACCGTTGCTTTCAAGCACTAGCTCATCAGCATAATGTTTCAAACACTTGCTCGATGACATAATGTAAACGGAGATTCAATCCAAAAAATACAACTAAAACGATTTTGGGATCGTAATTTATTATATATCAGTCAACAGGTTAATGTCCATCAAATTTTTAATGGAAAAGGACAATTTTGAGTATATGAATAGTCGGGTGATGATTTTGTAACTTTTAATAGTGTGAGGATTTAATAAAACTACATTATATGGTCAAGAAATTATTTTATAACTTTTAATAATCAAGAGATTCACAAACAACGTCTTATAGTCGGAGGACTATTTTTGTACTTTATCCAAAGATTAATAGAAAAAAATATTCATGATTAAAAAATATTTTGAATAGTAAAGGCGTCCCTTATATAAATTGGAAATGGGTTATGGATACGAAGGAAAATAAATAATTGGAGCATATGTATGGGGTATTTAGGGATGGATCGAGTGAGATAAATGAGACAATCATCCTCTTAAAAATTTAGATTCTCTTATATTTTATTTTTTTTATATTTTTATTGATAATATATTTTCGTCATCTAAAATTTCAAAAATTTACTCTCCTTTAAAATTTTACAAATTTATTATTTAACATAAAATTATGTGTTAATCCCGGATACATTTATTTGTAAAGCATATCCTTTGGTCTATCCTATTAAGTATTAAGGGGCAGAGTTTAAGTTCACAAACCCTACAAAACCTGCCATAAGTGTGTCACCATTTATGAGAAAATGGATTTCCATGAATCGTCATAAAAAGAAAGTTGGACAACACTAATTTTGCTACCCAAGGCTATTTATTTACTACATCTCATTCCAACAACATAATAAATGGTTTTAGATTATTTATTTCTTTATCCAATGTTATTGATAATTAGTCCTATAATCAAACCGAACACGAACGAGAATATATTCATGTTCGTTCGTTTAACTTTAACCGAACAACGTAAGAACACTAATAATTAAACGAACAAATTCTTTTATTATTGTTCGTTCATTAAGGAATCTAGCTTGTTTGTGTTCGTTCATGTTCGTTCGTTAAATGATAAACAATACAAATGAATGCAAAGAACATAAAATGCAACTTTCTTTTAAGGGTAAACTATATATTTAATACCTAAAACTATCACATTTATTTCGTTTTAGTACCTAAACTTTCATTTTTTTTCATAATCACACATAATGTTTACTTTTTGTTTCATTTTAGTACCACACCGTAAAAAATTTAACGACATAGTTGACATGGTAATTTTTAAATTTTAAATCATTATTTAATTAATAAAGTGGTGACATCATTAAGTAAAAAATCAAAAAGATAATCGTATTCGTTGATTTCACTCATTTAATAATTTTAAAACATTTAAAATTGATACTACTATTTTATAATGTATAATTGGATAACTTTGTCAATTCAAAATTATATGATTAATTGGGATAGAAGACATTCGAAAATTGAATTTAAGATCCCTATCACTTCATTTGTGATTAGATAATGAAATTTGCAACGCAAACAAAAGTCAGTATCAAGTGGAAATGATTAAATAAAATATGATTTTTCTTGGGGGAGATACGCTATAGTGTACCCCTGAATCGCCACGTGGAAAGCCTAGCCCTCCGGAAAATGACATTTTATATTTAAAAAAATTATGAATTTTGGGATTATCTTTTGCTTCTAATTAAGTAAATTAATTAGCCTTGAGTCTAAAACTCTCTAAAGAATTTGAAAACGGTGGCAAAGGGCCCTACTTAACTGGATTACAAGCCTGCAACTCCTTCCGTGGACCCCACCAAAATAGTTGGGAGCGTGTTAGACACCGTCCTTTGTCAGCGAGTGGGAAACTCAGCCTGGCCTTTTCTGCAATTTCTCTCTTCCTTTGCTTTTTATCACTAAAAAAATCTCCATCTCTTCCCCCCCCTCCACCAACCCACTTCCCTTCTTTTGCTCACTTGTGAATATTTTTTTTTATTTTATACATATTTTAAGTTTTGCTGGGTCCCAAACTCTGCCATGGCCAGCAAAACTAACAGAGATGCAACTGCTTATTATTAAATCTTAACCAAGCAGCAGTTTCCCATTACTCTACACTCCTCTAATTCTCTCCTCTTTGGGTCTTTTCTCTGATTTTTTCTTACTCATGGCGGAGGTTTTAGACGACGGCGAGTTTTGGCTTCCTCAGTTTTTAACAGACGACGACTTGTTCATGGATGGGGGTAAAGCTAAGAGCAACCTCAAGAAAATAGAGGATGGTTCCAAGTCTTTGTTTCCCGACGAGTTCCCTTATGGGTTTGGGTATTTGGGTTTCTCTTCGGATCCAAGTTCTCCGGTTGAGTCCGTGGTGGGTTCTACTGAGACAGAGAGTGACGAAGAAGATTATCTCGCTGGGTTAACTCGTCAAATGGGTCACTCTACTCTCGAAAACGGTATTCGCCGAAATGAGCGTGTTTTTGCTTCTAAAAACCCTAAGGTTTGTTGATGATCTAAACCCTGAACTTCTCGACTAAGTTATTTGGTTTAAAGATGGTTTCTCATTTTAGTTGTTTCTTGGGGGTGTTTTTTAGGGTTGGGTCTGGCCAAGTTCGCCGCAATCTACGCTATGTCCGTCGAGAAGCGGATGCGGTTGCATGCAAGGGTCTAGCCGTGGAAGCCCTACTTGTCAGTCTCGGGTTTTCGTCGCCGCCGGAAACGTGGGATCTGCTTTATGCGGCGGCAGGGGAAGTTGCTAGGATGCCCGTGAATGAAGAAGCATACGGCGTATTCAACAACAGAGGCCTATTACGTTCGCCGGCTACAAAGCTCTCTCAAAACTTCGATGTTTCCGGCTTTTACCCGCATCCCCAGTCACTTTCTCACCAGAAGCTGCACGCCGCTCAAGTAAAAATCCTCAAAACAGAACTAAAAATGGCTTCTTTAAGTTTGGATTTTCCCTCTGCAGTATATAAATTTGTTTGGTTCTTTGTTCGCAGTTTCAGATACTGAAGCAACAGCAACTAATGAACCAAATAAATGCACAAAAGCAATATCAGCAGCAACCACGCCATCACCATGTGGTCCAAAACAGAGTGAGGAGTAACAATGGTACTAATAGGCCTATGGGTTTGTCTCCTTCTGCATTCCCCCCTCTGCAGCAACAGAAAAACCGGATGGCAAACGGGTCGGGTATGCAGGCTGTTTACTTGAACAATGCGACTGCCAAAAGGGAATGTGCTGGAACTGGTGTTTACAGAACTAATGAACCAAATAAATGCACAAAAGCAATATCAGCAGCAACCACGCCATCACCCATGTGGTCCAAAACAGAGTGAGGAGTAACAATGGTACTAATAGGCCTAGGGTTTGTCTCCTTCTGCATTCCCCCCTCTGCAGCACAGAAAACCGGATGGCAAACGGGTCGGGTATGCAGGCTGTTTACTTGAACAATGCGACTGCCAAAAGGGAATGTGCTGGAACTGGTGTTTTCTTGCCCCCCCGTATTGGTGCACCTTCTGAACACCGCAAGAAGCCAGGTCCTCATCTCATATTTTCGTACTTTTTACATATAAATTGCATTAATTTCTGTCTTTTTTGTCAGTATCTGATTTTGTTTTATTATCTTGATTGCTTTGGCAGCTTGTCCTACTGTTCTGCTTCCAGCCAGAGTTGTTCAGGCCTTGAACTTGAATCTCAATGAGATTGAGGCCCAACCCCAACTTCATCCTCGTTTCAACGCAAATTTCACTGCAGATACTGGTACAAAATCATGTCAATCTAATTAGATTTAACTTTAATAGTTGTATGTATTTCTTTTTTTGATTTTGTTCTACACTTGCAGATGCTGCTATGAAGAAGCTTCAAAGTGGTGAGAATGTATTTGCGAATCAAAAACAACGCAATTTCAGGCAACACCAAGGAATAAATCACGAAGTGGGGTTACCTCAGGAATGGACATATTGACCGACTCTCAACTTAGCACATCTGCCAGTGGTGGAGTTTATAGTGAAATAGAAGTATATGCTTTTAAGGAAAATCTCTGGGTAATTTTAAGAAAGATTAAATGGTTATTTGGGTTAGGCTTAGGTGAAAAATAAAGTAAGAATCTTTATCTACGAAGCAGCTTTTGTATGGGGGAAACACAGTAAGATGATATGATGAAATATAGAACGGGTTTACGCTTTTGTAAATCTGGGATTTGGGTTAGGCTTAGGTGAAAAATAAAGTAAGAATCTTTATCTACGAAGCAGCTTTTGTATGGGGGAAACACAGTAAGATGATATGATGAAATATAGAACGGGTTTACGCTTTTGTAAATCTGGGATTTGGGTCAATAAGTTCATGAATTTTGTCGTTGACAAGTGAAAATGTTTAATGAAATTAAGGGGGACAGTATTTTGTCTAATCTTCTACACTTACATAAGCCCTAATACGCTAAGCACATGGGGTGATCTGTTATCAACTAAACTATATGTTATTATGGTGGCAACGGAAACAGTTGTAATGGTAAAGGAGAGAAGATTGGTCATTTATTAGCTATTATGGTTAAATATGGCCCTTTTTATAAGAATATTTAATGAATTGGTTGATGTCTCTTGGAAGCTTGAATTTTGTATCTTTGCGCTGCCCAATGCAATGCCTGATAAACCAGCAGCTGGAGTATTTTCTCACTTTTTTACTCTGAGTCGCATGGTGTAAAACAGTAAAAACGCAGTTACCCTAGCAGTTGCAGCGCCAAGCAACGGCTGCTGGTGATTCTGAGTAAATCTTACATATATTTCGTGTCTCGGCTTCTGTCGTTGGTAATGATCTGGTTATCTTACCCAAATCCCAACAAAATCTTTTCTTCATACCCAAAAGCAATAACAGCCTTTCACTCATCGGGCAAAAATGGTCCGTAAGTATCAGTGTAACAAATCTGGGAACAGTTTTTTATTTGAAAAATAATTGAGAAAAAACGAGTAAGAGACATAATCCCATTGAACAACTTCACTAACCTCCCCCGTATAAAAGGAAAATGAGTACATCACTTGCAATAGATTATTGGGGATTGAAAAACAAACACTGTTTTCCCATTCTCAATTTGTATTACAAATTCCACGGTGGTTCAACCAACTAAACCTGTTATTGGGGAGCCCCTCCATTTTAACATTAACACAGACACCACCAAGTTCTTTTTTTATTATTAATAATAATAAAATGATGATGTTTGATGGATGGATGGATATTGGTGACAGATAAGGTCGTTTGAACCTTTCAATACCAACGATAAGATTTACAGTTAGCGTACGGCTTTGTTTCCTAGCACACAACATGGCTTTTGGTTTGGACTGACGAGGCTTTATAGTTTATATATATATATATATATATGTATTTCGTTACGTATATGTTACGCATATTTTGATGAAAAATACCATTAATCTAATGCTCCGATGTTTCCACGCCCGATTTTATTTAAACAAGTAGGTCGCATACGCATGTTAAAATAGTTTTGCATTAGAATTATTTAGTAGTGTCAATGATTTAATTTCTTAATAATACAAGTTCAATGATATCTGTTGTAATAGGACGAAGGTACAGTAAATTAGTTGATTTTTTTTTCTCAAAAGGAAGACCCAATTGAAGGTTGGTTTTGTTTCTTTTGACACCATTGAAAATATAAGCCCATTGAAACCTATGCTTTGGTTAAAATGAAGCCCATATTTAACCCATTCAGCCCCAAATTAACCCAACAAACCAATTATAGTAATACCAACAATTGGACAAACCAGTTGTGGAGAGTTCAAATATGTATTCTCCTCCGCCCAATCACACAACTCTAACAAACTGTATATATATATAGGGTTAGAATCCGTTTATATATAGTTTTATACATTTTTAGTGTTATTATTCGTGTGAAAGTCTTACTTTGGGTTATGTATTTAACCCTTTTTGCACTCAATTCTTCTTTTATGGGAACATGAATAGTATGTTGCTTCTAAATTTAAATTTCCAAGCTTTGCAATTATGCCCCGGTAATTGCTTCCTTATACCATATATCTCACTAAGGGTATTAATCAACAACGAATTCTAATCAAGTCCAAGTAATCCTTAAGCTTGAATGTAAAAGGAAACTTAATATTCACATCAATAAGATTATTATAAATATTAACTTTTCTCACGACTATATAGCCATAAGCAATATCACATACAAATGGATATCAATCAATGGCATTTTTATATTTTTTTAGCTAAATATATCGTGTTACCCTCATTTAATCTTTTATAGAAGTTTATTTTTTATTGTGCATTTATTCCTAACAATAGAATATTACGAAGAAACAATTATATCCTTGACGTTATTAATCCATATGACAAACTGGACTCTATTCCTCTTCTCAAATCTACTATGCTTACGAGTCAAACTCTTTTATGCTTTTCAAATTTGTTATGATCACAGATTTTCATTTTACTAATATCTTATTCAAAATGAAATCATCTTTCATCCTCTGACAAAGCAATTGTATCTTCTAAAAAACAACATATGTAAACACAACTTTATGCGTTACAAATCAATCTTCTTGACCATTGTTTTTTTAATTTAATACATATGAATGATACAATATGTGAATCCCTTGAGCGAGCTTTGTGTTAAAAAATATTCTTCTTTCTTGAGATCTCCCATTCGATCAGTTATGTTTGTAGCAGAGTGAGTATGTATTGTGAGAGACTGAAAATTCTGAATATTTAGTACCTTGTAATCACGAAGATTTTTTCTAAATAGTTAATTTGGGTGATTATAAGATAGTGTCTCTTCTAAATCTTTCTTACACCCTGCAAACACAACTACTTGAACTTGGAATCCTTAAAAGCCACTAGTTTTATTAAAAAGAGGAAATATTTAGAATTACAATGCATGTTTACGATCATAAACGTGAACTAAACACATAATTACGATATTTTCCTTTTACAATTGACACACAAATTAATCACTTAAGATCACACAATAACCATAAAACTCGAACAAAATATAAATAAAAATATATCTGACCTCGTACTGGGTATTTCTCTATTTAGTATGCCGAAATTAAGCTTTGTAGGAAATTACCCCAAGACTAACCTTGTAATGGAACTTCACCTTCTTGAATGAGCATGGACAGATGGAAGTAAGTCCAAATGCAGCACGCACTACTCGTTCGAAAAGCTAAAACAGGGGCACCAAATTCCTTACCGGCATCAATAGCAGAACAAGACATGATCCCATCAGCTATTATGCACGTCGGAGGCTGCTGCTGCCGCATGAGAGAAACCATCACCTCAAAAAGTGCTGGCTTCGCCGCATCCCTCTAAGAGAACAAAAAATCAGGGACGCTTTTGCCGGGGCGTGGACTATCAGGCGGTAGACTATCGGGGAAGGACACGAACCGAAATCCAGGGAACCGACGGGAGAAGGCTTGGATGTCAATGGAGGAAACAAAAGTTTCGTTGACGTATTCGGTGTTTATGAAGGTGACTTGGAAACTGGCATGGCAGAGAAGCTCTGCTAGCTTCAGCATGGGCTTCAGATGGCCCTGGTTAGGCATCGGCAACATAACTACATTGGGTGCTTCAGGTTATACTTTCTCCATTTTTGATAGCTTTCTAAGACGAATGAATCATATATGAAGACAATATACAGTTAAGTGAGAGTTTATCTACCTCTGGAAGAGTTAAGGGTAGGTAGATCTCACAAACTTGATATGAACTTGATCATTCAAATTGAGATCTAATATGAACTCGTATATAATAATCTAAATTTGATTTAAAATTTGAAACAAATTGAATTAAATTATAAATATGTAAATCTAAACTACAAATAGATATAATATCCATTATTCTTTCTTATTGGGGAAATAAATTCTTAACATTCACCCCATCACCCCAAGTGTCGGTAACTTCGTTCAAATTTGATAAATTTGTTATAATATTTCACCCAAAGTAAATTTTCGGTCAAGCCTTTATTCAAAGGCGTGAATTTCTGGCATGTTGAATGTAGATCCCACTTTAGCTGGACCTTGAGAATATTGTTAAAGTTAAGGGCTGAAGAGAGTAATTTATTTGGTTCTGGAGTAAACTGGGCCGTGGAGAATAATAGATGGATTTGGGACAGGATAAGGGTGCAGTAGTATCGAGTCATTTGGTTCCCTCTTCATATCCCTAAGCATTAAACGATTGCTTGGATGATTATCTTGGATAGGATGCCTACTAAGGAGAGACTTGCAAGAATGGGGATGCCTACGGATGGAATCCGTAATTTGTGTGGAGTCCATGTGGAGACGAGAAATCATCTCTTCATGGAGTGCCAGTTTTCTTGTGGAGTCTGGGAAAAAATCTTACAGCTTTGCTGTCTTCAATGGGGTCTGCTTGGACGGGACAATGGTGTTAGATGGGTAGTAGAGAATTTAAAAGGTAAGTCCCTCATTGTTTGTATTCTAAAGATTGCTTGGACAGGTTTTTTTGTATTTTGTTTAGGAAGAACGTAACCATAGGCAGTTTCGGGATAGTTCTAGATCAATAGAGATGTTGTGGATTGTATTAGAGAGATGGTTATGATTCAGTTGCAGCATTGCTGTATTGATAGGCTAGATAGGGTGAACTCTGCCCTGTGTTGCAGTTGGGGGATCCATTGATGGATCTGCTCCTTGTTGTCTATAACAGCTTTTTCTGTTTCTTGGATTAATTTACATTTGAATTATAAAAAATAAAAAATTATTGAGGTCTATATTGTAAAGATAAATTTTAGGATGCAAAGGATTTTGGATACATATATATATATATATATATATATATATATATCAAGTTATGAGATATATAAATTTTATGTAATTGTGTTATTTGTGAACTTCACGTTCATAATAAATTATTTATCATTTGTAAAGATAAAGAAAATCGAACTACATTCAGTCTAATATATTATAAATAATTTGTTTCATGTTAATTGTATGCTGGTTATCTTTTTACTTACAAATTCCTAACGGTGACCAAAAACCATTCTACAAGTGCACCAAGCACTCTTTCAAGTATACGACAGGATAAGATCTCAACCATGAATTTAGAAAATCAGTTTGCAAATAATACTCAACTTTCAATGCTATGCTTGACAAGCTACCCGGATTAACAGTAAACTTCCACCCTTGTTCAGCTAAAAGGACTATATATCGAAAATCTAATATATCGAGAGATTCGTACTCACATGAAAAATTTCAATCACTATAATATTCTAAAAATGTAATACCCAAAAATTTGGTTAGTGACCAAAATGAATAAATTGAAAGTTTTGTGGCTAACATATAAATTTTAGAGAATTTAGGAACCAAAGTGTAATTTTAAAAAGTTATATAATCTGGTCCCGTAAATGAATAGTTTACTCCCAA